TAGAACACTGAAAATCTCTTCAATAGACCACCTCTATTGAATCCACCGAACTTCAAGACAACACACACACAGACATTTCTATACACGTCACACCAACAACGACCGACGAAGTCCGGATGATTATCAGACAAATCAAGAGTGGGAAAGCAGCAAGACCTGAAGACATGCCAGCTGAAGCACTGAAGTCAGACATAGAAGTAGCTGTAAACATGCTCCACGTCCTATTAAGGAAGATGTGGGAGGAAGAACAAGTGCCGACAAACTAAAAAGAAGGATACCTCATCAAGATACCAAAGAAAGGAGATCTGAGCAAGTGTGATAACCACAGAGACATCACACTACTGTCGGTATCAGGAAACGTTTTAAACAGTGTTACTAAACTGGATGAAAGATTCAGTAGACACTCAGCCTCGAGATCAACAGACAGGATTCCGTAAGGATTGGTCGTGCTCAGACCAAGTCGTGACACTACGGATCATTGTTGAGCAATCGACTGAATGGAACTCGTCACTACACATCAACGTCCTTGACTATGAGGTGTTTGACAGTGTGGATAGAAGGACCTTATGGAACCTTCTTCGACACTGTAGTGTATCTGAGAAGATGCTCAACATTACACAGAATTCATACGACAGACGGAGAAAAGCTGACAGACGCATTCCAAGTGAGGACTGGAGTCAGACAAGGCTGCTTACTCTCTCCCTCTCTCAATGTTTCTCCTGGTGGTCGAATGGATTATGAAGGCCTACACATCTGAAGGGAAGCACGGAATACAAAGGAAAGCTGGGAATCAACTAGACGATTTGGACTTTTTAGATGCGATGTTGTACAGTGTGGATAGGAGGACAACAGTCGAACGAGAACAGAGAAGTCAAGGAACATGCCGGATAATAAGTGGGTATGTGTTACGTGCAACACGGATGCTGTAGTCTTACTGAGCAACATCACTGTCCTATTGACAGGTCTGTAGAATTATGGTCTACTATGTTATTGGTGCTGTTCTAATAATAGACCTAATCCAAAAATTGTAGATTCGTCCTTATATAACTGCCTAATCATAACCACACAATCCTCAAAGCTGAACACGAGACTACTCGGAAAATAGATATTGAATATTTAACGCGGAGGAATACCCAACAATGGAGAAGGCGGGAATAAGGAATTGAGTAAATTGGGGTTGATGGTATGGCATGGCTCGGCCATGCAGGCGTGGTCCCAGCTGAATGTTATCTCTTATCTTTTATTCATATTAAATATATTGTTCCATATCTAGCCTAAGCTTGTTCTCTATCATGTATTGGTAATTGTTACGATGCGATGAGGTGGTGTAGATAATAATGTGACTTCCACGTGAGATCTTATAGGTTAGGCAGTTGCATCATGACAAATCTACAATTTTAGGATTAGATCTATTATAAGAGCAGTGCTAATATCATAGTAGACCATAATTTTACAGGGTGTCCTGCTAGCTAGTCATTTACTGAAATCCGATGGGAACGTCAAAATACTGCCCGACATCCCGTATTCTGAGCGCAATCTCATCTGGAACATCCCTAAACAATCTCGAGGGAAGTTTTTCCGCGGAAGAAATATAATCGTGCAAGGTGTACCGGAAAACACGGACCCTACTCAAGCAAACTCTGACATTCGGGAACGAAAATTCATCAAATAGTCCATGAGGCTCAAAAACATACTGCCTGAGCATGTGATGAGTCTAATGAGGATAACTTTCCCATCCTCAAATATGGCGGCTGTGGCTCTGGAAGCATTTCGTGTCAACAGACGTCGGTTGCCAACTGGGATCCACATGCATCCGGACAGGCCATATGACGCTAGGATCAAGCACAAAGGCAAGCTGGAACTGACCATTTCACTTGTGGACTGTCTTGAAGATAAAAAAACGTGTAAAGGACAGGGCCTATCAATTCAGCGAACCTTATAAAGGTAGGCTACCTGTCCACTCACGTAAGGCTCATACAGATGAACAGGAAGAAGCTCACGTGTTTCAAATTGAAAGCATTAACTGCTTATACATGAACGACACAAGTCTACCAAATAAAATGGATGAGCTACTTGAACTAAGCGATGCTAAACAGGTTCATCCAATAGGAATATCTGAAACTTGGATATCTTCTCAGTTTTCGGATCAGGAGCTAGCAATACCTGGGATGTCTCTGTTTCGCAATGACAGAAAAATAGGAATTGGGGGTGGAGTATCCCTATTCATACGATCTGGCTTGGAGGTACACCAAGTTCACAACCATGAGTTTGACAATCTTGAGGAATCCATATGGTGCTCTGTGAGATTGTCCACTACTTCGAGGTGCCTAGTCGGAGTCATACATAGGAAGCCCACTGCTGACATTGAGCATGACAGTCGTGTGCTGGAAGGACTAGCCTGCTCTACTCGTCTCAGTTTCACTCATGTCCTGATTCTAGGGGAGTTCAATCTCCCTAGAGTCAACTTCGCGGAACATACGTATATTGGAGGTGAAAATTCGATTGTAGCTCGGTTCTTCAACCTCATTGAGGATTTGGGATTATACGAAAATGTGAAGTCGGCTACTCTTTGGAGGAACAGTCAGACACCATCGCGCTTAGACTGTGTTTTTACAAACGATGAATTTCTAGTTGACAACCCCTCAATTTTGGCTCCTCTGGGGAAAAGCGATCACGCCGTTATAGTCTTCAGTTTTGTCAGCAAAACTGAGCCAAGTTATCCCAACAACAACAGGCGCTGGAATTTCAAACGGTTGAATGTGTCAGGACTATCTACAACAGGTGGATTGAAATGTTCACCCTCAACTTGATGTGGATACTCGTTGGGACTTCTTACTGCGCACGCTTTAATGTGCTACAAATCAGTCAGTTCTTCGAACGGTCCCCAAAAGCCACAAGCAACCTACAGTCATCAAGAACCGCACTCTTCGTTTGTTAAGCCGCAAAAGGCTTATGGATAAATTTATTTCCAATCCGAAAGGCTTATTCCGTTACGCAGCCTCTCTTCGTCAAGCCAAAACTGAAGTTTCTCAACTGCTAGGTCCTAACGGCCCGACCGATAACGACGGCGACGCCGCTAACCTTCTGGGTGAGCAATACTCCCGGACATTTCAACCGGTCCACATCAACTATACTGAAGACAGCTTCATCTGCAACTGTACAGGACTTTCCGTAGTGAACCTGAGCGCTGACTTGGTGCTCCGAAAAGTGCAGCATCTAAGAACAGACACTTCTCCTGGACCAGATATGGTCCATTCTGCTATACTGAGGGAAGCAGCTCCAATTCTGGCAACACCGCCTGGCGTGATGTTCTCACACTCGCTAAGTCGAGGCTAACTACCGGAAACTTGGAAGCGGGCTCATATTACACGCAGCGAACCTTCAGGTTACCGACAGGTGGCTCTTCTATCTCTACCTTCGAAAATCTTGGAGTCCCTGATATACGATGGTATACACGACTATATGCTGTCCTTAAATTTCTTGTCATCCCAGCAGCATGGTTCCAAGAAGGGTTACTCCTGTATGACGTACCTGCTGACCGCGGTGGACAGATGGACAAGCATCGTTGATCGCAAGGGGAAGGTAGACATTATTTACCTTGATTTCTCTAAAGCTTTTGATAGCGTTAACCACACATGTCTTATTAACAAACTCAAACAATTGGGTATCAAACCACCTTTAATTGACTGGCTCAGTTCATATCTCACAAATCGACATTTTAAGGTCAGGGTAAACTTCAATTTCTCACGCGCTATGGAATGTTCTAGTGGGGTCCCCCAGGGCTCAGTACTAGGACCTCTCCTCTTCCTGATTTATATAAATGATCTTCCTCAACAGGTAACGTCAGACATACTGCTCTTTGCCGATGACGTGAAACTTTGGAGAGAGATACGCAATCAAGAGGACATACAGGCACTTCAGGAGGAACTGACTTCAAAGTTGGGCAAACGATAACGGACTTACCTTTAACACTTCAAAGTGTAAAGTGGTCCATCTGAGACACGTCGCAGATTACAGCTACAACTTAGGAAACTCCTCTCTAGTAGTACCTTGAGTCGAAAAAGATTTAGGAGTTCTGGTGCCCTACAATTTAAAGTCTTACGCTAACTGTGACAAAAGTGCCTTTCGAGCAAACCTTGCACTGGTAACGTTAAAGCGCATTATTGGCCAGTTTGACTAGAGAACTTTCCACATAATCTTCAACAGTTTCATTCGTCCCCATTTAGGGCACGGAAACATAGTATTCCCTCCTACACTCCAAAAGGATAAGGACACTCTGGAGCGTATCCAACGGCGAGCCACGAAATCAGTGCGGGGACTCAAATTTAAACCTTACGATGAGCGCCTCCAATCACTCGACCTTTACCCATTAGAGTATAGGCGTCTTAGAGGTGACCTTCTTATGGCTCAAAGTATCCTTAACACTTCTAGACATCCTTTTAAACAAATACTTAAGCTTAGTCTCAATACTAACCTAAGGGGTAACACCCAGAAATCGGAGATGCAACATAGTAGAACGGACTACAGGCACAAATTCTACTTCTTAAGGGTTGTCAAATGCTGGAACTCGCTTCCGGCTGAGCTAGTTTTAGCGAATTTCCAGGAGTCCTTAAAGAGGCGACTTGATCTATTTTTAAGGAGTAATGATAGTGTCTTACTATGATTTACCAACTTCCTTATTTTCTCTTTTATCGTTAATATACCTAGGTTCCTGCCTGGAGTTATTGATGATCCCCTGCTACTAGACACGGAAGCCCGTTAAGAGAAAGCTTCTTCTATTCCGTCCACAACTATTTGAACCATTTACTACACAAATCTGAATCTAAACAAAAGTGTTTCAGTAAAGTCTGGTGTTATTAGAAAAGTGGACGAAATAAAAATAAATTCCTCACTTTTTTTCAGCATCAGTCCCACTTAAAATACAAGACCATAATCACCAAATGCCAACAAAAATTCTTTGTGACTAGACAGTAATTGACACATATTGGACGTTGTATCTCGAACAAATTCAAACTGTGGCCTTGAGGGCTGACATCGTATTGTCTATATCACATCTGCGATATTTCTAATTGTTTTCGATTGCTTCCATTGATAAATGTAAGTGGATTCAATGTGCTTCATGAGTCTTTTTTCTTCCAAATAATCTCACGGCTATTCATACTCCCACCTTACTAATGACTTTCATGCTAGACGTACACCTATAGGTGGTATACCACAGACTGCACGTTGTAATCCATATTGGTAAACGTAATTTCTTCTTGAGTCACATTGAGACTGTTAAGGCTATAATTTATGGACAATCTTTGAGCAATGCCAACATGGTCTTGAAAATGTCCACCTACTAACTGGAGTTAAATGAGGGTTATAAGTTAGTGCAATGATTTAGTATTAGTATTTACAGTTAGACGTTAGGGTTATAAATCAAATTCAGTGTTTTTTGTCACGACTTGACATCATTTATAATGCTGAAACGGTTTTCAGTCAAATGAGCGGATGGGTTTCGTTCCAAAATTTAAGACCTGCTAAATTATTATTATTACGTCTTTTATGTAATCTGCTGTGAGGCGATCCTACGTGAGTATCAGGTACTTAAATTGGCTCTGTTTTCTTGAATTCCCTCAAACTCTTCCGATTGGCTTGTCTATAAATTATAGTCTCGCCAAAACAAGCTTGAGATTGGGTAGCTTTTTAATGACTTTTAAAAAATCAAATTGTGTCAAAAGTGTGAAGAGTCAGAATTATGATCGAGAGTTAGGGGTTAAAGTTTTTTATCACGAACTGACGTCGGCTTTTATGTCAAAATGCTACCTAGGCTTATGAATGAATAAACTTTGCACAAAAATCTTTGAGTTTCTGTTTTTATTTCCACTAGTCCGTCCATAAATTGTGGTTTTGGTGTACAAGCGTTTGTACTCTTATTATACAGATTTTTCATGCTATAATGTCCTACCCATTTCATCATATCTTAATTTCATACATTAATCAGCATCGACATGAACAGTTGAATTTGTGGCGAGACTCTAATTTAAGGGCGACCTTTGAACGAATTTTGAGTGACCTTGAGGATAATAGCCAATCAGAAGACACCTAGTATAACGTAGAAATATATTAGAAGATACTAATGAATTACAGTGAATATACTTCTTTTACATGATTTAAAAACTTATCAATGTTTGCTAAAGTTTCAGGTGTTTTGAAATCATATTGCATACGGTATAAAAAGTCATAAATTCCAAGTACCTGTAGAGTATATTTACGGAAATGCTACTTACACAATCTTACTTTATACTATGTCCCCTGTTGTATTTTCGCTTTCTCACTGCTTTCTCATCCAATTTGCAACTATTATCATAATTTGAATCAGTTTCAGTAGCAATCGACCAAAGAAAGTCCCCGTTCCAGCAGACTCTGCTCCAACATGAAGGACAACGAAATATAATCTCCCCACGGTTATTTGAACACTTTACTGCAGTCATTTGATAAACGCAGTCTCACGTACAAGAACTTTTTAGTAATCCTATCCCTTGTAGCCTCTCAATAATCACCCCTTCTCTAAAATCCGCTGTAAACCGATTATATGTGAGCATCAGGTGTTAAACTTGCCTCCGTGACCTTGAAACGGCTCAAATGCTTCTGATTGGCTCGTCCCTAAATTAGTGTCAAATACATAGTTCACCGATCAAGAAATTAGTAGAGCTATTCCGGTCACTCTAGGTCAAGTGAACTTAACGTTGTAAATTTGCTAGTTTTACATCATTAATCTCTCAAAAGCTTCAATATTTAATAAAGGTCAGTAACTATTCAACCCATATTAAATAAGGATGGTACGTCTTTATTTCTATCAGGAGTCTCATTTTATTTATCCTCATGGTTTAATAGTATTTCATTCTTTGTTTAAGTTATTACTATGATTTTGGTATACATCCCTTTTACAACAGAATAAATTTTCTTGCACGATAATTTGATACATTTGTTTTTAAATATCTCTTTCAAATTAATTAGTAGTATATTTGCAAATCTATTTATTTGTTAATTACCCAACCTTTGGGAAGATTTGTCATTCTACTCATTTCAAAGTATCAAATAATGTTCGAAGTATTTGGTGGAGGATTTATCAGGTACGCTTATGGTGTTTGCTAATATTGTTTTCACATTACTTGTAGAATGAGTGTTAAGTTCATTTATAGAGAACCTGTAAGATTTATGGGAAGCCTAAACAAAGTTGTTTATCCATGGATGAATAAAAAAAAACCATTTTGGGTTACTCAACAGACTAGTCCTTATGTAGATGAAGATATTACATCAGAAAACAAGACATTTTTAGAACAACAGCGTATGGACCCACTAATTAGTTCTACAAGCCCCGTCATTACTGAACAATGGACACAAGTACCATGGAAACCCTATGTTACACAAAGATGCGGTCTTATTGCAATCAAGTTAGGATTATATCCACTATGGACTAAAACTGGAAAGAAAATGGACTGTACTATTTTCCAGGTGGGTTTATTAGTTCAATTGACTCAGCTACTAAAATCCTTTCTTAATCCTCAACCAAACCAACTAGGCAATTGTCAAATAAAAATTGAATTGGACGGTTTGTTTGCCATTCAACCATAGCCATCATTTTTATGTCTGTAATACTCTTCGTGTGCCTAAATTTAAGTCGTTGTTGCAAGGTTCGAACTTAAAATCTACTGGTTGAAAGTCAAGTGCTTCAACCTTTAGGCCAATGCTCCACACAGTCTACTCATACTTCTATTTGACTGATTATGCAAACTTGGTACATAATGGACCTAAAACCCTCAGCCATTTCAGTTCAATATTTAGAAGTATATATTTTTCCAAGGTTCTAAAAGTTATTATTCCAAGCCAACAGTGTACATGATCTTCAAAATGTCAAAGAAGTAAATAGCATGCAACCTGAGAGTGTAAGATGTAATGTTACTGAATTCTAATACAGATCCAACTTTCTAGAACAAATTCAGATATGCATTTTTAAGTTAAATTCTCATATTTCAATGCTCAAAAGCCATTACTGACATATGTATCGTGACCTAATATTCACTTGTGAGAATTGCGAATGATTCGCTTATGTGACGATTACCAATCCCTATCATGAAACTAGCCCATTTTACTTACCTTACTACATCATGTGTATGCCATAAAAAACTAATTATATCGGTAAAACTAATTATCAACATGTGTTATATCTTATAGAAGGTAATATGGATGTATTGACTATCACTGTATCGATTCTTGCAACGATTTAATTCTAGCTCAATTTAGGGCCCCCAAATGCCCTGGTACGGCCGAGAGTGGGGAGAGTCCGCTCTCTCTCTCGAAATGCTCTCACATGGCCACGCCTATACAGCCTCTGCCAGGGAAGTCCTACTCACTGCCTTCTCGTGGCGGGGGTGTTGTTTACAAAAATGAGAGGACGAAAAGTGAATGTCTGGCGCTTTAACCGGACCCCAAACCAATGGTGCACATAGGCTGGCTCCAGTATCCTGAGGGAGCAAATGGCGTATGAACCAATCGCTGGTCACCGGCTACCATGGGACTGCATCTCCTTACGATGCTCCACTGCCTTGTGGGTCAGACGTTCAGGTCAAAGGCTCGGGGTGTGGTCCCCTAAGAAAACCACCTGCTTCGGTTTGGGCACCCGGTCAGTATCACAGCCCTCACACAAATCAATTGAGATTTGTGTAGCGCATATGTATTTGGTGCCTCCCTGTACCTATACTTATGTGTTAAAATAAATAAATAAAGCTCAACTTAGGTACCTGTTATACTGCCCCTTAGCCTAAAATAAAGAACCACGCAGCAACTAAAATGGCTTAGATGACAGTTATAATTTCATTCCACAAACCATTGCTTTGTTTTTTGTGTGTTTTTATCCTGATCAAAATAAACGTTTTTCAAATAGCTTAGCTCGTCGCTATTTACATTGTCCAAACTCATTGAATAATAAACTGAAGAAAATCAGTCAAATTTCAGACGTTTATGAAATGTCTTGACTGTCAGCTTACTAAGATATGTCGTTAATCTTCAGCCTAAAAGTGACATTTCAGCCCTAATTCTTTCTTAAACAGAGTTACATTGTTTGTCTTTACTAAACTTTTAAGAAAACGACTTAAAATCCTCAGTGGCATATTATTTGAAAATGCTAATAAACATGATCTGAGTTTTATTGATTAAAATAATCCCATTAGACGAAATGAGTCACAGTTTGAATGACAACATAATATTTAGCTTTTAACTTTCGGAAGCTATTCTGCGCATATCAATTTGGTGATATACGAAAGCAGTGGACTACTACATCAACAATAACACCTAGTTAACCATCCTACTCTTATCTCTAAATTTTTATTTCTATCAGATTCCTGACAATCATGCTATTCGTTATACACCTCCTTCAGAGATCGACAAATACATCAGCCTACTGCATCCACGTCATTATTGGTTAAATAATAAACGACCTCCTTCCTGGATAACTCAAAAACGTTGGGGTATACAATTGGTTGGAGCAGTTTCTGCTGACCCTATCGAGTTCACTTCTGAGTGGTGTGATTTATTTAAAAAAGCTGGTGTACCACCAAAGCGTAAAATATCTCGTTTTTTGGTCAGCCCTGATGCTGCTTTAAAACCTGGTTAGTTGATCAAAATTTGTTTGATCTACTCATAACCTCCACAGTAACGATCACGGATATTCCACCATCCATATTAATTAATATATCTTTGTCAATCCACTTCATTTCCTGTTGCGAAGTAAAATGACCTATTATTTTAGATTGTATTTTAACAAAACACTGATTCACCTGTGTTCTTATATAAGGTTGTTAGTTTGGGAGTTTGTTATAGTTCAGTGTTGGAGACGGTTGGAAAAAAAGGGGCGGCCAAACTAAAGTGAGGAATCAGGCCTTGAAGTCACTAACTTTTAGTCAGAGCCATGTTGGTAGATGCAGACTACTTGGTTGGGGTCCGCGTGACTGTCGTAACCAATGGTTGGAGACTCTTGGGGACATGGCTCAGAATCGATCACAATGGCGTCGGTGTATACACTCTCTGTCTTCCTTTAAACTAAGAGATTAAAATCACTTCAAATCTTTCTTTCTACGAACTAATTCTATCTTCCTGTACTATCTCCTTATACACACTCTTTCTTCTATATATTACCACCACTGAATTGACTACTTCTATGAATCCGGTGTTCATCTTGTTGTGCTAATGCGGTATGGCAACTTGGACCGATGCATATATGTGCCTGGTCCTACGTTGTGGCCGACTGACTATAACGCACAGTTGATGATTTGTTCTATGAACATATTATATTTGCATTTATACATGAAATTTTACAACTAAGTTACATTTTTCTACATTTGTTTCATTATTTGATTGTGTTATTCGTGATCCTTCTACCAAGCTTCCAGTTTTCTTAATACGTTTCTACTTCATGAAACCTTACTTAACGCTAAGAAATTCTGAGTGAAAATTTTTTAGCTTAAGAATGAGCATTATCTACACTTCTAGTGGTCTATATTTGTAGTTCCTAGGTGTCTAATCTAATATTAACATTCAACTACTGATATCCGGTCATCACTGTCAAAGTTACTCTAATCGGTTGAAAATGAACTAATCAGCACTTTCCAGCTTGTGCCTAACCCAAGCATCCGATAACCAATGAGTACGTATTGCATTGGCTGTCTGGTTACCATGAATTAATTTACGCTAAAAAAGGATAGATTTTAGTTTCTAAACCAGTTACTTTTTTGTAAAGCCCTCTGCTGTTTGGAACTAAACTTAATTGTGAAGATTTCAGTAAAAACTAATATAAAACAACTATTTTTTTCTTTCCAAAACACTTACCACTGAATATTGGCTTTTACCGAATGCTATTTTAAGGTGAATGAATTGCTTAAGAGTTAACTATCTTTGATTTTTCATTTTTTTTCCCAGTCCATCTATTTATGGTCTCCTTAAATATCATAATAGAGTAGTACCAAATGCCCTGGTACGGCCGAGAGTGGGGAGAGTCCGCTCTCCCTCTCGAAATGCTCTCACATGGCCATGCGTATATAGCCTCTGCCAGGGAAGTCCTACTCACTGCCTTCTCGTGGCGGGGGTGTTGTTTACAAAAATGAGAGGACGAAAAGTGAATGTCTGGCGCTTTAACCGGACCCCAAACCAATGGTGCACATAGGCTGGCTCCAGTATCCTGAGGGAACAAATGGCGTATGAACCAATCGCTGGTCACCGGCTACCATGGGACTGCATCTCCTTACGATGCTCCACTGCCTTGTGGGTCAGACGTTCAGGTCAAAGGCTCGGGGTGTGGTCCCCTAAGAAAACCACCTGCTTCGGTTTGGGCACCCGGTCAGTATCACAGCCCTCACACAAATCAATTGAGATTTGTGTAGCGCATATGTATTTGGTGCCTCCCTGTACCTATACTTATGTGTTAAAATAAATAGATAATAATAACTTCATCCGATAGTTGGTTAGGGAAATAAATTTGAATTTATACTCCACTTCAATTCTTTTTTGTCTCTCACTTTTCTGAATACGGATTAAATGTTTTTTCTTATTTATCATCGTTGACACTACTATTACTTGTATGTATTAACAATACATCTCGTTGATCTCTTCTTGTAGTACTGATGTATAGTATAGCAACTTGGTAAAGTAGTAGATTTTCATAAAGAAATGGGATTAACACTTACTACGTGTACTCAACCAACGCCTCCCTCATGGCGATGTAGGAGTGGGTTGAGAGAAAGCTATGAGTGACCAAACCAAGATGTGGAATCAGTCCATGAATTCACTGACTACCTGTTTGGGTTTTCCAGATAGATGGAGACCACTTGGTTGAAATCCTCACAATGGCCGCGACTAGCGGTTGGAGAAATCGGATAATATGGCTCATAACTGCTTGCAGTGAGCTAAGTCCATTTGTCCTTTGTCCTTCTCTAGATCTTGATTTTTAAAATCATCTTATACTTTTTATCTTATAAGTTCATTCTTTCTTCTCTGGTCATATTGTCTATACTTAGTCCCTTTATTCACTATTGATTTTATTTATTCGAACACGTAAACATTAGTACAAGGGGGCACCAAATACATATTCACTACAGAATAACAATGAGGCCAGCAATAGTTATCATTGATTTGTGTGAGGGCTGTGATAGTCTTCGGATGCACATGGCTCTCCTGGGAGGCCAAGCCCGGAACCTTTGACCTAAAAGTCTAATCCACAAGGCAGTGGAGCAACGTTAGCAGATGCAGTCCCATGGTAGTCGGTGACCAACAATAGGTTCGTTTGCCTCTTGTTCCCTCAGGATCCTGGAACCCATATGCATCATTGGTTTGGAATAAGGAATTTTCAGCTTTCCTAGGTGGATGCTCTATATCCATCAACCCGGTTAAAGCGTCGGACATTCGGTTTTCATCCTCTCAATTTTGTAAACAACACCCCCGTCGCGAAAAGGCAGTAAATAGGACTTCCCTGACAGTGAATGTATGCGTGTGGCCATGTGGGAGCATTTCGAGAGATAGAGCGGACTCTCCCCCACCCTGGGCTGTACCAAAGCATTTGGAAGCATCCACTATTGATACTATTACTACAGGTCATCAAGCCTCCTGTCCTTTCCAAACTTAAACTGATATACTATTGTGACATTCGACTTGGTATGTTAATTTTACTGTATTGATGTGATGTAGTAAATTGAACTAGTTTACATTTATTCCATATCCTACATTGTCTATGATTGACTAACTGATATTGAATGCAAACTACATACATTTAGTACAGAAACCTCAGTATTTATTCATCGTGTAACATTTTATCAAAGAATCTCAGTTGGTGAATTTTGTTTCTTGTCTTAAATTTAGGAACACCTTTGAGTGTGCATCATTTTCGTGTAGGTGACTATTTGGATATAACTGCAAGAACGTGAGTTGCTCTTTTTTGGAATTTAAATTTCTATGTTTGTGTAATTGTTTTGCTGATCATAAATCCTTCAAAAGCTGTTTTGTTTGTTCTAAATGTATCAGTCAGTCTTATTTCATTGATATCAAACTACTTTATATATTTTTCAATACATGATTATTTTCTTAACTTGAATGCATTCGTTCTTTATTAATCGTCCCATGATATATTGAATTGTGCACTCAAATTTGAATCTTCGTCACCCGTTCGAACACCATTCCTTTGCCAAGAGCTCCTGGTAGCTTAATTGTATCATGTAGCCATCAGATACTAAGTGTAATCATAATGTTTAGTAGATCAACTTGTATTTAATTAGTATGTTGCATGTATCTACCAAATAATTCAAGGTAGTTGGTTTGAGATAGAGATTAATATAATGTCCAGTAATAACTGCTTTTCATCAGTAAATCTGTATCTACCTTGAAGATGAGCTGTTTATTACAGAGCGACTGGAAAAAGGGTGTACTTTAGGTTGGTGATATCAATCCACTCAGCCAAGACAAGAACCTAGAACAGGAGAGTAAGCAAAATAGTTGACAAACCATTAAGGGGTAAAAGCATCTCACATTAGTTAACATTTTAAAAACGCAAATGTAAATTAACTGAAAATCGGAACTAAAAGTTAAGTGAATATAGTTTGAGGTGTCTTATGAAATTAAATTCAAGTGTAATTCACCTTATAAGCTACGGACGTTCAACATGAAGTGAAATCAAATCCAAACACGACTAGCTAGATTGCATCAACACAGCATTCAGTCAAATTTAGAACTTCAGTTCAATTTACCGTGTTAAATTGTTAATTATACCACCATAGCCCTTCTATCTCATAAACAGCAACAAATACAGGTGAAGACAGCCAGTGTAACAGCAGTCTCTGCATCATCAGGCCTCAATATACACAAGGGAAAAACCAAGGTCCTCAAATACAACACGGAGAATAGCAATCCAATCACACTTGATGGCGAAACTCTGGAAGATGTAGAATCCTTCACATACCTGGGAAGCATCATCGATCAACAATAAGGATCTGATGCAGATGTAAAGGCGAGGATTGGCAAAGCAAGGACAGCATTCCTTCAATTAAAGAACATATGAAACTCAAAACAACTTTCAACCAACATCAAAGTCAGAATCTTCAATACGAACGTCAAGGCAGTTCTACTGTACGGAGCTGAAACTTGGAGAACTACAACAACCACCATCAAGAAGGTAAAGTATTTATCAATAGCTGTCTACGCAAGATACTCAACATCCGTTGGCCGGATGCCATCAGCAACAGCCTTCTGTGGGAGAGAAACAAACCAACTTCCAGCCGAAGAGGAAATTAAGAAAAGACGATGGAAATGGATAGGACATACATTGAAGAAATCATCAAACTGCATCACGAGGCAAGCCCTAACTTGGAATCCTGAAGGGAAGTGGAAAAGAGGAAGGCCAAAGAACACATTGCCCAGGACAGGGCAATCCTTTCCAGCTCTTTTCAGTTCTTATTCATCCCTTTCATATCCGCTTCTATTTCCCGACGTAATTTGTTCTTTGGCCTTCCTCTTTTCCACTTCCCTTCAGGATTCCAAGTTAGGGCTTGCCTCGTGATGCAGTTTGATGATTTCTTCAATGTATGTCCTATCCATTTCCATCGTCTTTTCTTAATTTCCTCTTCGGCTGGAAGTTGGTTTGTTTCTCTCCCACAGAAGGCTGTTGCTGATGGCATCCGGCCAACGGATGTTGAGTATCTTGCGTAGACAGCTATTGATAAATACTTTACCTTCTTGATGGTGGTTGTTGTAGTTCTCCAAGTTTCAGCTCCGTACAGTAGAACTGCCTTGACGTTCGTATTGAAGATTCTGACTTTGATGTTGGTTGAAAGTTGTTTTGAGTTTCATATGTTCTTTAATTGAAGGAATGCTGTCCTTGCTTTGCCAATCCTCGCCTTTACATCTGCATCAGATCCTTATTGTTGATCGATGATGCTTCCCAGGTATGTGAAGGATTCTACATCTTCCAGAGTTTCGCCATCAAGTGTGATTGGATTGCTATTCTCCGTGTTGTATTTGAGGACCTTGGTTTTTCCCTTGTGTATATTGAGGCCTGATGATGCAGAGACTGCTGCTATGCTGACTGTCTTTGTCTGCATTTGTTCGTGAGTATTGGATAGGATGGCTAGGTTATCTGCGAAGTCTAAATCGTCTAATTGGTTCTGAGCTGTCCATTGTATGCCGTGTTTTCCCTCAGATGTCAAAGTCTTCATAATCCAGTCGACCACCAGAAGAAAGAGGAAGGGAGAGAGTAGACAGCCTTGTCTGACTCCGGTCCTTATTTGGAATGCGTCTGTCAGCTGTCCTCCATGCACTACTTTGCACTGTAGTCCGTCGTATGAGTTCCGGATAATATTGACAATCTTCTCAGGAACTCCGTAGTGTCGAAGAAGTTTCCATAACGTCCTCCTATCTACACTGTCAAATGCCTTCTCATAATCAATGAAGTTGATGTAGAGTGACGAGTTCCGCTCAATTGATTGTTCGACGATGATCCGTAGTGTCGCAATTTGGTCTGTGCACGACCGATCCTTACGGACTCCAGCCTGTTGATCTCGAAGTTGGGCTTTTGTACAGTAATTACAATTTACCCACTAATTTTAATTCAGTATCTTTCTTCTTACAGCATTAATCGTGGCTTTGAAGGTGTTATTGAACGTTGGGGAATGAAAGGTGGACCTGCTGCCCATGGTTCTACTAAATTTCATCGTAGAATGGGAAGTTCTGCAGGACGTGAAGTAAGTAGAACAGTTATTCAAACTAATTACCTCCCTGTAAGATTCGAACCAGCGCCACTCAAAAATTACAGTTAAAGACGTTTAGTACCGCTATTTTGGGTTAACAAATTTGCACTGATTGATCACTGAGTAATGGCCAATACCATGTCTGTTTAGTCTGTTGTTATTGTTGATCAAGCTCTACAAATCAAACCACTATGTACTCACAAGCATAATACTGGTTACTACTCTGTGATATATATATAATAAAGATGGGAGTTTTTCTGCATTTCCATTTCTTTTGTATATTTCAGTAAACTAGGAGTATTATTATTGATTTATTTTAATTCAAGATGCGATTATCAGTATTGTAGCACATTACTATCACATATTACAATTATGTATACATGATTTATACGTTTTACTTTATTTCTCCTGATATCATTTAAATAATTCTTCCATTTTTCAGGGCGTAATCGCGCGAGGCAAACGTATGGCAGGTGTCATGGGTAATCGATTCAGAAACTTACGTGGTGTAATGGTTAGCTAAGTTCTGTTTTTTTTTAATTTATAAAATCTTTTATATATTTGTCCCATAACTAAGTATAACGGATTGTGGAGATAGTTGTCCTGAATATCCTGAGTTTGATTCCTGATGGCTTCATGGGTGAACATTATTGAGGAGTCTCGTACTAAGACGAAACAGTTATCCAGTGCTTCATGGCTTTCACTGATTTTGTAATTAAGGTCAGTCCGTGATGTAAACCTTAAGGATATAGCTCAGTTTAAGGTAATATATTTATGATGAATATTAAAAAAGACAAGATGAATATTTTCAGATGAACCCCTTTCGATGTTTCTGTTATAGAGGTGTTCTCAGGATTTATGATAATGAGCATGTTTGAAGATGTTAAAATGATGAGCTGAATCCTGACTGATAGATAGATAATACACAGTGGTAGTGTGGTTGGGTTTTATTTGATCACGAAACCTAGTTATCAACACAAACTAAGTCACCCAGTAAAACGAAAACTTGACTATTAGGCTTGATTCCTGCCCGCCATTTCAGTATCTTTATTTGTGTACCAAACAATATCACTTAAAAAAATACTAGTCACAAAACAGAGTCAACCGGATACAGCAAACGAATCTTCACAATCGCTAATGTCTGTGTAAAATTAAGGGCTAATAAACGTCTATCTTATCCATCACTTACGATTAAGTTAACAATTATGGACTATAACTGTACAGCAGTCTCTCGAAATGACTTTCTAATTATTATTATTTGAACACATAAATATTGGTACGGGGGGGGGCACCAAATATATATGCGCCACACAAAACAATCATAATTTGAAGAGGAGAAAAAAAAGGTAATGGACGTGAGGAATTATGAAAAAAAAGAGAGAGAACAATGATGGGGAAAACGGAAAGGTACAATCAGAAGAAATCTTTCAGTTAAGGAAGATACAACCACTTTTTATGAAGAAAGTAAAAGAAGGTTACAGCAGGATCGCCATTGGCTTCTATTCTGAGCCATATCTGATAACGTCTCTAGCCACTGCGTTACACCGTCTCTCGGACCCCAGCCAGAGAGTCGTGAAGCACCAACAGAAGCCAGCCCTTTGCAGCTTTCTTTCATACCACGACACCATGTCATATACTGACCACCTCTCCGCTTTTTCCAACCAGTCCCAGAGTCGGCAAATAATGCACGACGTGGAATTCTCTGGGACGACATTCGAAATACTCTCACACGGCCACGCGTATACAGCCTCTGCCAGGGAAGTCCTACTCATTGCCTTCTCGTGACGGGGGTGTTGTTTACGAAAATGAGAGGACGAAAAGCGAATGTCCGGCGCTATAACCGGATCCCAATTCTATGGTGCACATGGGCTCCAGTATCCTGCGGGAACAAATGGCGTATGAACCAACTTTTGGTCACCGGCTTCCATGGGACTGCATCTCCTCACGATGCTCCACTGCCTTGTGGACTAGACCTTTAGGTCAAAGGCTCGGGATGTGGCCCCCTAAGAAAACCACCTGCTTCGGTCTGGGCACCCGGGCAGTATCCCAGCCCACTCACTAAAACTATGATGAACAATTTGCTTATGGAAAATATTCCTTTCTATCTGATTAACACTGAAATAACTCGTACTATTATTATTATTATTATTATTATTATTATTATTATTATTATTATTATTACTCTACCACGTCATTTATTCACCCTCTCTTATTCCTACTTTATATATGCGTTTCGACCTAGACAGCAGCTCACCTATGGTGAAAATTCAGCTTTATCTAAACGTTCCCGAGTCACTGCCTGGTTGAAAATTGTATGTTACTACCGAACATGAGTACTGAAGCAGTTTTTCTGAAACCGCGTGCACCATTCAAACTGGCTACCTTCAACGTTCGCACACTTATGCAGGTCGGACAACAGATAGGACTGGCTATGTCTTTGGAAAGTCTTAATATTGATGTGTGTTGTCTATCCGAGACCCGTATTCAAGACTCTGGTGAAGTACTACAAGTTCGCTCTCCATCTGTCACTTCAAAAAGCTTGTTTTATGTGCGTTTATCCGGGGACCCTGTGGCATCTTCGTCTGGTCTTGCTGGCGTTGGTGTCGCACTAAGCGCAAGAGCTGAGGCAGCACTAGTCGACTGGATCCCCATTAACAGTCGGTTATGTGCTGTTAGATTAGAAAGTTCCATCAAAGTGAGAAGAAATCGGCGTGAGAAACGATGTCTTTTCGTCATCTCCGCCTATGCCCCGACAGATTGCAGCCCGGATGCAATCAAGGACGAGTTCTACCATCAGCTAACTGTTCTTCTCCAGAAAGTGCGTTCGACAGATATTGTAGTACTAGCTGGAGACTTGAATGCTCAGGTCGGGCGTCTAGGCACAGAAGAGGGTCGTTTAGGTGGCCGATGGGGACTCGTTGGTCGCAGGACAGATAACGGGGAACGTCTACTGCAATTATGCACAGACCACAACCTGTTTCTGGCTAGCACTAACTTTCGGCACAGTCATCGCCGATGTGCCACCTGGCGTCCTCCTTCTGCATCTCAAGCCTGGACTCAGATTGATCACATCGCGATCAGCTACCGCTGGCGCGGTTGTGTACAAGACTGCCGCTCCTTTTGGAGTACCTATCTGGAATCTGATCATGCTCTGGTCTGCGCCAATCTTACCTTACTTTTCAGTGGACAACGAAGTGACCGCCACCAAAGGATTGATGTTAGCAAGCTGGCTGCAACTTCTGTTGCTAGTAAGTACCGAACCGAGCTAGCTTCGAGGCTAGCTACCATTCCACCGAAAAGTATAGATGAGCATTGGTTGCAATTGCATGACGCCATGAAAATGGCGGGTACAGTCTGTTGTGGGTTTGCGAAACGTCCCGCTTACAAGCACTGGGTCTCTTCTGGTTCCTTACAACTGATTGAAGCCCGTCGGTCTACTCCGGGTGACCGTGAGTTTGACCACAGACGAAGGATGTTACGTAATGAAATCGGGCAAAGCTTGCGTAAGGACCGAGAAGCCTGGTGGTCGGAGCGTGCTAATGAGCTGGAAGCAACATCACTTGGATTATCGTTACTGAGCCCGAACACACGATGCCGGACCTCTGCATTACTGACATGGTGTTGCCACTGGATGCCAGCAATCCTTCGGAGACAACGATCATCGAACACAGAGTCGTCTAACATCCTCAACTCGGAGAGGCCAGGTTTCACAAGCATAGAGCAAAACTGCTCTCACCGTCGCGTTGTAGATCCGACCTTTTACAGCCAGACTAACATCACGAAGGCGCCAAAGATGGCCCAGATTGGCATAAGCCGCTCTGGCTTTCACTATACGTGCATTGATCTCATCACTCACACCACCACCAGCACTTATGCAGCTACCTAGATACACAAACTTCTCGACGACTTCTATCTGCTCACCGTCCAGAGTGAGTACAGGATTAGAATCCTGCCAGTCTTGTAGAAGTACTTTGCACTTCGAAGGTGCAAAGCACATACCATACCTACGGACATTGATTGCCAACTGATTAAGTGCGGATTGCATGGCTTGAACATTCTCGCACAGTAAGACAATATCATCCGCATACTCAAGGTCGAGAAGTCTTTCTCCAGGCAACAGATCCACACCACCATTACTTACATCCGTCAGAGCTGTTTCCAGAATGTCATCGATGGCAAAGTTGAAGAGGAATGGTGAGATTGGGCAACCCTGCCTAACTCCACTGCTCAAATGGAATAGTGGAGAAAGGTGGTTGTATGCCCTCACTCTGCCTGAGGTGTTTGTGTATAAAGCTTTTAGGATGTTAATAAACTTCTCAGGCACACCCTTCTTCAATAGACAATCCCAGAGAACAGTTCTGTCCAACGAATCGAAGGCAGCCCTGATATCAAGAAACACTACGATTGTTGGCCTTTGATAAGTATGGCGGTGTTCTAACACTTGGCGGAGGGTGAAGCTATGATCAATACATCCTCGACCAGAACGAAACCCAGCCTGCTCCTCGCGAGTCAATCGTTCTCGGGTTTTGAACAACCTACGAAGTATGACGGAAGCCAATAGCTTGGACGCAATCGGAAGTAGACTTATCCCCCGATAGTTGTTACAGGAACAACGTGAACCCTTTTTAAAGATAGGGACAACTATCGACTCATTCCATGACGTTGGTACACTCTCTAGTTCCCAGATCTTTGTAAACAACGTCGTCAGTCCCTTAGTCAAAAAGTCACCACCATCTTTAAAAAGAGCCGGAGGTAAGTCGTCTGGGCCCGGTGATTTGTAACGTTTCAAGAGTTGGAGTTCCTTGCGGACTTCCGCCTCATTTGGTGGATCAGTCGTCACCGGCCATGGAGGGCAGGACAGTCTGACCGATGTTGCCGGAGCAGCAGGCCAGTTGAACTGCCCTTCAAAGAATTCTGCCCATTGTCCAAGACGTCGATGGATGTTAGTGATTGGCGTTCTGTCATCCTCGCAGATTGTTTCGCTCACACCAGACTTCTTGCTGCCAGTGGCTCGGATGAGTTGGAAGAGCTTCCGGTAATTACCAGATGCAGCTGCTGCTTCCAGCTCATTAGCACGCTCCGACCACCAGGCTTCTCGGTCCTTACGCAAGCTTTGCCCGATTTCATTACGTAACATCCTTCGTCTGTGGTCAAACTCACGGTCACCCGGAGTAGACCGACGGGCTTCAATCAGTTGTAAGGAACCAGAAGAGACCCAGTGCTTGTAAGCGGGACGTTTCGCAAACCCACGACAGACTGTACCCGCCATTTTCATGGCGTCATGCAATTGCAACCAATGCTCATCTATACTTTTCGGTGGAATGGTAGCTAGCCTCGAAGCTAGCTCGGTTCGGTACTTACTAGCAACAGAAGTTGCAGCCAGCTTGCTAACATCAATCCTTTGGTGGCGGTCACTTTGTTGTCCACTGAAAAGTAAGGTAAGATTGGCGCAGACCAGAGCATGATCAGATTCCAGATAGGTACTCCAAAAGGAGCGGCAGTCTTGTACACAACCGCGCCAGCGGTAGCTGATCGCGATGTGATCAATCTGAGTCCAGGCTTGAGATGCAGAAGGAGGACGCCAGGTGGCACATCGGCGATGACTGTGCCGAAAGTTAGTGCTAGCCAGAAACAGGTTGTGGTCTGTGCATAATTGCAGTAGACGTTCCCCGTTATCTGTCCTGCGACCAACGAGTCCCCATCGGCCACCTAAACGACCCTCTTCTGTGCCTAGACGCCCGACCTGAGCATTCAAGTCTCCAGCTAGTACTACAATATCTGTCGAACGCACTTTCTGGAGAAGAACAGTTAGCTGATGGTAGAACTCGTCCTTGATTGCATCCGGGCTGCAATCTGTCGGGGCATAGGCGGAGATGACGAAAAGACATCGTTTCTCACGCCGATTTCTTCTCACTTTGATGGAACTTTCTAATCTAACAGCACATAACCGACTGTTAATGGGGATCCAGTCGACTAGTGCTGCCTCAGCTCTTGCGCTTAGTGCGACACCAACGCCAGCAAGACCAGACGAAGATGCCACAGGGTCCCCGGATAAACGCACATAAAACAAGCTTTTTGAAGTGACAGATGGAGAGCGAACTTGTAGTACTTCACCAGAGTCTTGAATACGGGTCTCGGATAGACAACACACATCAATATTAAGACTTTCCAAAGACATAGCCAGTCCTATCTGTTGTCCGACCTGCATAAGTGTGCGAACGTTGAAGGTAGCCAGTTTGAATGGTGCACGTGGTTTCAGGAAAACTGCTTCAGTACTCATATTCGGTAGTAACATAAAATTTTCAACCAGGCAGTGACTCGAGAACGTTTAGATAAAGCTGAATTTTCACCATAGGCGAGCTGCTGTCTGAGTCGAAACGGATACAAAAAGTAGAAATAGGAGATAGTGAATAAATGACGTAGTAAATAATAATAATAATAATAATAATAATAATAATAATAATAATAATAATAATACCAGTCATTTCAATGTTAGTCGGAGAGAAACGAATATTTTCCATAAGCAAATAGTTCATCATGATTTTAGTGCGTGGGCTGAGATACTGCTCGGTTGCCCAGACCGAAGCAGGTGGTTTTCTTAGGGAGCCACACCCCGAAGCTTCGACCTGAACGTCTGATCCACAAGGCAGTGGAGTATCGTAAAGAGATGCAGTCCCATGGAAGCCGGTGACCAAGAAATTGGTTCATACGCCATTTGTTCCTTCAGGATACTGGAGCCAGCCCATGTGCATCATTGGTTTAGGATCCGGTTAAAGCGCCCCCCCACGAGAAGGCAGTGAGTAGGACTTCCCTGGCAGAGGCTGTATAGGCGTGGCCATGTGAGAGCGGACTCTCCCCACTCTCAGCCGTACCAGGGCATTTGCGGGCACGCAGTGGCTAGAGACGTTATCAGATATGGCTCAGGATAGAAGCCAGTGGCGATCCTGCTGTAATCTTCCTTCACTTTCTTCATAAAAAGTGGTTGTACCTTTCCGTTTCTCCCACTTTAATTACTATTAATATTACACTACCATACAATAATCTGTGGTCGTCATCGTTCTTTTTTCGTTTCTTTTCTCTTATATGCACCTTACATTCTTTTACTCTTCCTTTTCTCATTCCTATTGTGTGGCGCATATATATCTGGTGCCCCCTTGTACCAATATTTATGTGTTCAAATAAATAACACAAAAGCAAGACTGAATATGTACAAGTGTTAATACTTAAAGATATGTTCAGTAATACATGTTACAGTGCTCATTACACGCTGATTATGTCTAATATTCTATTCAGTAAGTACTTTATCAATCTTAAACAGTAGTACACTATTTACTATCCACTGTCTTCTTGATTTTCTTAACGTTCACCACCACTATTCCAACTGCTAACGATCATATTAATCAACCCCGATTTATGAACTTTTGCATTCTTTGTTACTATAAAGTATTGCATTCCTTGTCCGATATTACTTCTTTTTTCAATAAAAATGAGGATGATTTTTATAGTGATTTTTTTCAATTATAGATTCAAATTCACACCCCTCCCAATTTTCGATTTATCAATATAAATGATTTTACTACACTTTACGCCGGGTAAAATCTACTGTATATTGTGCAAACATATGTCTGATTATTGTGTATTCGTGAACACCTTACACCATTGATGCATATCACTGTTTATAGCACCAAGATGTATGCACCATAAAAATGCCCTAAATACGTCTGATTTTTTCAGTAAAACTTGTTTAGTTAGTAGTAAATAATATACAACAGTAAAAACTGTTTTGGCTTAGTTCCTCTGATTCTATATTATAATATTCTAAATCTCAATGATCAAGCAATTCAGTTACTTTGAAGATAATGTGCTCTAATATGTTATTGTGAATTATGGTTTTATGGACCTATAGAAATAGTATAGAGCTTAGCAAATAATCACAGGAAGAATACAATGAACAATCACTTCTATCATTTAATAGATGTTAACGTTTCATTGTTGGTGTGACCTGGATACGTAAGCCTAGTGATTAGGTTTTTAGGTGGTCTTTATATTGATTAGTAGATACACCAGGTTCTACGTTCGAGTTCCATTTTCGTCTACCTCAACTTAAGCAGTGAGGTAGTATCATTCACTGAGCACATGAATATATGCTTAGTAAGTAAATTACATCACATTATATTAATCTAGCTTCGCAATCATATTTGTTGAAGTCGCATTAAATTTCTAGATTTCTCGGTCACGCTATTTGTATAGCACAAGTAATTGTGAAAGATTATCGGAAGCAGGAGTCTGTACTCTTTTGGTAGTGACTTATCAAAATTGCTCGAAAAACGTGCACATTTAAATTAGCAATTGAAACTGGTAGATTTCTAGCAGATTCTATCAATATCAGTCACCGTGGGTTCGTTATAGAACTAGTCTGTTTGCCATTGATCGAGAATACATTCCGTTTATGCGATCAACAATGTTATATTACTTGCTAAACATAATCTCTTTGGCCTGAGTTTGTTCAATTGGTTTAAATATCCATAGTTTCCGAACGATTGCTCCCATCTGTTAACAACTGAAAGTGAGTTTACAACCCGGTTATGTAATCTCATAGATAATAAATTTCAAATGAAATCGCCTAAACTTTGACGTAAACGTAATGACAGAACTGTTTAAAATATAAAAGAAAAGTGATCAAGTAGTTTTTAAGAGCACGAATATAAGCAAGTAACTCAGCTTCCAATTAAATGGGAAGCTTACATGAACTAGGACCTAATACGTTTATTAGTTTTATTCTGTTGAACTTGTTAAGAATATACATATCTATACCTTAGCGGTTTCTCATACTTTTTTATATTCCCATATATTTATTCTCTCTAGATTGTGAGGATTAATCCAAAACTCGGACTTATATACGTACAAGGTACAACACCAGGGCCTATACATGCCTACTGTCATTTGAACGACTCCTGGTTAAGAAATCGTCGACGTGAATTAAATGCTAATCCACCACCAGTTCCAACGTATTTTCCTCCCTCTATTGTAGATGAAACTAATTCAAATCAACTCGATCCAAGCTTGTGCCTTGATGTTGATGATGATTTTGAACAAGATATTTACCATGAATCAATACATCCAAGTTATAGTCCTTCCATTTCCTATTCAGAAGACTCTATGTGAAACATAATTTCTCTGTTCTAAGAATGTACATACAATATAATTTCATAGTTTCCTTTTAAGTTTTTTTTTTTTTTTTGCTCAAACTTCACTGGGCGGTTAATGTATGGTATGGGAACGAACTAAAAACAATCGCGATGAATTTTCATCTACTTCTCTAGCCAATCAGAAAGCAGCTTTTATAAATGGTTAGTTTTTAGAAAAGAAAACAATAATATTGCAAAGTATGAAGAGATTTTACACGATTACTTAGTGTATTAACATCTATAAGTTAATCTACTTGTAAATAAAAAACAACGAACTCGTACTCATGGATTTAGTTTGTCCATGTTCTTTAACGCTAATACAGATCCAAACAGATTTCTAAGTCTCAACATCATTTTTAATTAGGATCAGAGTTACGGTTTTCAACACGAACTGACATCACCTATCATTTAAAAATGCACCGTATCCGTGCATGAGTAGACTTCGCTTAAAAAAATTTAGAAGTTGGTATCTGTTTATTTCGTCCATGAAATGTAATTGCATGAGTCCAAGTTTTTAGAATAAAGAGTTCAGGATTACCAACTAGGGGCACTGTAGATACGTCTACCGTGTACGATCTAAGGAGACAAAATTATCTATTTATTTAAACACAAACATTGGTACAAGGAGGCACCAAATAGATATGCATCACATAAATCATTCGATTTGTGTGAGAGCTGGGATACTACCCGGGTGCAAGGACCGAAGCAAGTGGAGACAAAATTATCATACTCTATGCCTTCAAAAAAAATAACGTTTTGCAATCGTTTTACTCACTTTGCTACTAGTTAGCAGAAAAATGATGTGGATACTGGACTCATAAATACTTTAGTAAGTATAAGATTCGATTTAGACTTGTTGCAGTGTTTATTATTATTGGTCTACATTTATGTTCAACCTTATCAACATTACCCAGTTGATGGTTTGACTAAATACAAGCTACGTTATGAATATATAAACTGGTCAGATACTTGTAGTTCTCATTTCGTTTTACGTCAGCGCTAAGTCTCAAACCAGAGGAGTGGCTATGAAAGTTGTACTAATTGATGATTCTGTAGCGGTAAATAGCTCTGTATGTCTACGACATTGGATGCCGACCACACTCGTTTTGATGGACTCACTTAGCTGAAGGCGCTCGGTCATGCATCCGCACCAGATCACGAGTGGGAACGCCGTACTCAACATCCCCTGTAATCGTTAGCCAGCCTAGATCAATCGGTCCTCGATATATTGATAACCCATCAAATACATCTTCTGACCTCCTCGCTTCTCTCTTTTGATTTCACTTGGTGGGTACGACTAATATTAGGTGTTACTGGTTAAAGCTTTGTAAAACTCCAAATACCTGTAGCATCTTCAATTCCTCTATCCTTGATTATGTGCTTATTACGAATCCTAAATTTAACACGTCCAGCTTTGCTCAGCTAGTTCTACCTGCTTTAAACTGAACTACTTTGGGAATTCTTAGTTATTAAACCAGTTTGAATACTTCTAATTATCACAGTGGCTTGTCTGACTTTTGATTAGTTTGTATATGTATCTGACGCTATAATTTATAGGCTGCGTGGATGTATATGCACGCTCAATTTAACTTGGGGTAAGAAATATAAATCTGCCCACTTCTATTCTGATTAATTGCAAGTTACACAATCATAACCAACGTGGAGTCTGGTACAAATGTTTATAGCTCAAATTGCCATAGCGAGATGGTATGCAATTAGCAGGGTGAAAAGTAAGGGGGTTGAAATAATGCAGTAAGGCAATATTAAGAATATGGTATTTAAAAATAAAAATGAAGGGATAGATCTAGATTAGGATAAATATGTACGTATTCATTCAGTATTTAAATCTAAAATCGACGGATTGTCATTACTGGTTTTTGCATTTAGTCGCCGGTAGTCTCCAGTTGGACGTCAACCCGTCGCCCCACATTCACGATTTGACAGCTACCTTAAAAGACACTCGTGGAAGTCAGCTGCTGTGTGGCAGACCCAGGCTTCGACATTGTCGAGCCAACTGGCTTTAGTGGAAATGAGGGAGGCGAAAGGGTCCTAATTTTAAATAACTTATGAGTCTGTTCCACCATGACGAATATAAAGTATACCAATGAACGAGAAAAAAATACCACAGTATGTCGGGATCTAAGTTAAAAAGTGATATATAGTGTTTGAACAAGGAACAGACTCACAGTATACGAATTAGTGTACCACATCGCATCGGGCTCACCACTAACGATGCCACAAGTATCCGAGACATAAGACCTTGTAGTCCTGAGGTCGTTGCTTTTTGACGCCTAGATCTTCATAGTATATTACTTTAGTGAACACAACTCTACTTATTGTGTAGTGGTATGAATCGTCGCGGTTATTTATTTTCATCACCTCACTCTTGTTAGCGTTAACTTCTAATGACCATCTACACAAAATGCCACTTGTGGATAACGAAACGATGCACATAACCAAGTCTATGTAGGAGTCTGTACGCTCTCCAATCATCTGTTTATATTGTAGTACCTGGTTCCAGCCAGTATTACTGGTGCTTTTATTATCCAGTTCTCAATAATTGTCATAATTTGCTTTAGTTATGAATTATATATAGGGTTTTCATCACGAACTATTATCAGATATAATGCCAGAAATCTATTTAGCCAAATGGATGAAAGGCTTTCGCGCCAAAATCCGAGATCTGTTATCTTATACCTGATTCATTCGTCCATAAATTATAATCTCGCCGTTTTATTTGTTATAACCGCTCAATTATCACGTTTTGTACAAAATTCACTGTGAACCGGTCGTACATTAGCATTAAGCACCACAGTTAGCGCCGTGACTTTGAAATCTCTCAAATGTTTGTGATTGACTCGTCCATAAATTAATCTTGCCATTTTTATTCCATACTTACTGTTTGCTGATTAGTTAATATTTGTCAAGGTCACTGAAGATTCGTTCAAAGGTCGTCCATAAATCATAGTCTCTCCGTGAGTGACGTGTTTTCTGTTTTTCATGTTCATTATAACTAATTACCTTGTTAGTCCTCTACGATGAGTTCAATTAAAGTCACTGAGAGAGCTCGTAGACGTAGGGCAACTATTAACTTGTCAAGCGTCTTGGGCTGTCATAGATCGACTTATAACAGACTGGAATAAAGTACTAACAGATTTCATGAAAAAACATAACTTGCTTTCGTTTAGTGAGTTTGCTAGTGAAAGCACGATCAAAGATAACTGACTTTAACAGTGGGGTATGTTGAATTGATAGCAGTCAAAAGAGAAATTAATTGTAATGAGAATCCGTCAACTGTCACACCAAAATAAATCCTCTTGTATAGATATCTATTCTGAAGTTTACCACTAACCTCAAATGTTCTTGTTAACTCTTAATCTTTACAGTTTTATTTCTCAAAAAGTTGTCATTTCCTCAGCACAATATGTTAAATATTGTGGGCCATTTACCTCAAAAGTACAGTGACAATATTCTTGTTACTCATAATAATCATGATATGGTATATGAAGTTAGAGGATTTCAATTGCATTCACTTCATTTACCATCAATGCGAACAAATAATGATAGTAAAAAGATACCTATTGAAACAAATCTTGTGGACATCGACTATTCACCTGGAATAAATTCGTTACTATGTTGTTCTGATAAAGGAGATATCCAGATATGGGATATGAGGGATAACATTCCACAGGTACGTGATGTGTTTTTTGTTCACTTGTAAAGGTGTCCTCAGAATTTAACATCTGAATTGTTTATTTTTCAAAAGGGTATTATAAGTTACAACCTCAAGTCCACAAACTTCTGTTACTGAGTCATCGACTCAAGACTTCAGTCTTAGCAATAGTATATTTCCAACTACCAATTCTGGCTAATACATAAACCTATACTTTATTATAATGTATTATTATAATAGGTTTGCGAAAGATAATTACAATGCGTCACTTAGAACACAAATTTAGGACAATATGTCTACCAAGTTACATATAACCTTACTTTTTTACTTGCGTCTGTTACTCCTCGTGCCTCATAAGCCGCCGGCCGGCAACATTTAACCAACTCGGTCCTGGGTTCTTCCCGGTTGTTGCCAAATGCTATTTTTTCTTTTGATGTCTGCCTACAGCTTCTGGCGCAATGTGTTGATTGGTCTACTTCTATTCCTTTTGCCTTGATGACTCCAAGTTAGGGCTTGCCTCGTGATGCAGTGATGATTTTCTCAATGAATATCCTACCCACTTCCAGCGTAATTTCATCTTCAGTTGGCATCTGGTTTGTTCTCTGCCGTAGTAGATTGATGCTGATGGTATCCGGCTAACGGATGTAAGGCATCTTGCGTGGACAACGGTTTATAAGTATCCATACGTTTTTAATGATGGACGTAGCAGTTCTTAAAGTTCCACTTCAGTGCAATAGGACTGTCTTGACGTTCATACTGAAGATTCTGACATTGATGTTGGCTGACAGTTGTTTTGAGTTCCATATGTTCTTCGATAGTAGGAATTCCGTCGTTGCTTTGCCAATCCTTGCCTTCACATCTGCATCGGATCCTTCTTGTTCATCGACAATGCTGCCCAGTTACGTAAAACTTCCCACCTCTTCCAGAGCTCCTTCGTAAAGTGTGATAGGGTTGGTACTCACTACGTTATACTTCAGAATTTTGTTTTTCACCTGTAAATGTATATGAAATAGACGGGCTATATCATTTGCAAACTCTAAATCATCCAACTACACCCAAGGTTTTCACTACACCCTGTTATTCTGTGATGTGAAGGTTTTCGTTATCCAGTCTACAACCAAAAAAAGGAATTACGAGAATAGACAGTCTTGTTTAACATCAGTTTTCATTTAGGATGCATCTGTGAGCTGTCCTGCATTCATGACTTTGGAATTCAGTCCATTGTAAGAGCTGCATATGATATAGAGGTTCTTTACAGGTACTCCATAGTGATGGGAAAGATTTCGCAAGGTTTTTTTATTCACGTTGTCGAATGCCTTCTCATAATCGAAGGAGTCAGTGTATAATAGTAAGGTATATTCAACAATGATTCACGCCGTCACAATTCGATTGGTACATGGTCGGTCATTAAAAAATCCAGCTTGTTGATCTCAAAGTTGGGCATCTACTGAACAACCTCGTTGAGTTTGTCAGTATCTATAATAATGACTATATTAAACCTTTGTAAGGTTGTTTCTTCAGCTGTCCAGTGCTTCTTTAGCATCAGTTCCAACTTGTCCACAACCAGGTGGTGATCTGAAGCTATATCAACTAATCCCTTTTTTCTTATTTCCCCCATTGACCTTTAGAAATTTTTATTGATACACATGTTATCAATCTGATTATCCGTAGTGTTGTCCAGTGAGGACCATGTAGCCTTATGTATTCGTTTGTGGAAGAAAATGGTACCACATATAACCATGTTTTTGAAAGCTCATAGATTTGCCAGTCTCTCACCACTCTCGTTCCTTTCTCTCAGTCCATGTAGCCCCATTATGTCATCACACCCATTGTTGTTTATTCCGATATTGGAGTTTAGGTCTCTCATCAGCATAGTCGGGTCCTTTCATAGCCACTTCTCTACGATAGCTTGCAGCCTCTCATGAAATTGGTCTTTATCGTCTTCATTGATATCTGTGGTGGGTGCATAGCGCTGGATAATATTCATTGTGGTTCCCTCTTTCTTTGTTTTGAAGGGTCGTATAAATGCTTTTCGTGCTTCTTTGAACATTGTCAGTGCAAGTCGTTGTGTGTGCGAAGCAATTTCTTCCTCATGATCAGAGTACAACATCAACTCTCTCGATGGTAATCTTTTCTTTCTAGCTTGTGTCTAATGAGTTACACTTATTCTAAGAAGAGCTAGAATGTGTCTTTTCATTTCCGCCTCTACTTGAATGGTCATTCCAGTCTCCTACATTATGTGAAGATTCTTTGTACCTATATTAAATGTTGCTCTGATTGTCATAAGGGGTATGGTTCTGTGAATTCCAAAGAATCTCGGCTTTCATTACGAGGTGTCATAACTCTTGTATATGAAGACCCTTGAATTCACATGGTAGAGTTTAAATAGTTCAATTGATTCTTCCTTGCTAGAATTTTATTTAGCAAGGGGTTGCTTACCTCGCTTAAAATCCTTCTCTATCCTGACTTACAACCAGCATTAACCCTTGAAAAGCTTCAGTTGGAGTTATATATGTCATAACTTATTTCACATACATGTTATTCTAAAATAGATATTGTCTTGCAGTGAAATTCAGCACTTGCGTTTCGTCCTGTCTGTAAATCGTCAGCCTAATGCACGTGGTTCGAAGAGCTGAGTTATCCCGGAGTGAACGCCAATACTGCGATGCTGGTACATTCGCCTGACGGTTCCCAGATGAGACAAAACGCGCGTCCTGAATTCCACTGCTAGCCATCATCCATCTCTGTCTAGAAATGCTTGATACTTAGTGACAGTATAGAGGCAATTCTCACAAGATGCACACATACTGAAAGAAACGGATCAATTGCAGTCCTAAACATACATTAATGTGAGCATTCAAATAACCAAAGTACGTGAATTAAAACTCACTTCGATTATCAAATGCCAATTAAACTTGATAAGTAGATTGTCCCTAATCACCATCATCTTTACTCTGTCTTCTAAATAACTTGTTCATCGACAGAATTGTCACTAATAAAACTACTATTAGGTCATAGACTTCACTTTTCTGTGAGACATATTTCACAATGAAGGGAACAATTCAAATGTATAAGTTCAAACACTTATCAGTTATTCATTTATTGGCTATTTTTTCAGAAATCTTGTAACAGGATTTTGTTTTGGTTTAAATAATCTGGTGGTAACATTTCTATTCATGGCAAATAAGAGCAATAATACTTCGAAAATTACAGATATGCCCTGCTTACCGAAACTAGGCAAGTATAAATGGTGCTTACAGCTTCCCAATCGTTGCTGCTACCTTGACATGGTGGTGGGGCTTGCATATCGTGATGAACCAGTTGGGCTATACTGGCTGGAACAATCGTTCCCCAAGATTTTACCGTTCCAGGCAAGTCGATCGAAGAGCGATAAGACTAAAAGCCGTAAACCCAGTGTCCGAAGGCGAAGTCGTACTGCTGACTGTACAGAGGTGTGACGGAAGTAAGGTGTTTCCTTCAGACAACCAGTATAATAGCGGTGCTGCCTTCCCACAAGGAGGGGTTGGGTTAGAAAGGGTCGGCTCTAAAAATGCACACATCGCTTTATCCCACGGATATCCGTCTCCGGCGGTAAGGTCTCAACAAGTACGGATTTGACACGAAAATTACTCATAAAAGGGTCGTGTGTGACTTACCTCAAGCAGTTGTCCATTGGGCACTGCGGTCACATTCTCAGGTCACTAAAACCACCCATAACCCAATTTTTTCCAGGTATCTCCAGAAGAACCCTTCGACGTTGTGGGAAGCCGAAAAGTGATGACCGCCCTAATACTTTTAACGGCTTACGGCTTCTTGTTAATAGACATCAAAAATTGAAATTGTCTTGGTGCTATCCTTAAAACAACAACTTTCCAATCTTTTTATCACTTACTACCTAAAATTGGAGTTAATTTTAGTATCATCATACGGACCTCATGAGTTACATTCCTAATTATTCAGATACAATTTTATCAGTGATTTATTTATATTAACTATTCATACTGTTAATAATATATTATCTTTTTTCTTTCATCTATATATTAATGGAAAAACTGTCTAAACTTTTTTCTTTAATAACAAAACAGCCTTCTATCCAGTCTTATAAACAGTTTATGAATGTACCTTTCACTTGTTGTTCTATCAGTGCAGATGGCAGTTTAATTTGTTGTGGTACAGAAGTTTACAGATTGAAAAAGAAACGTCGAAAGCATAACTCCAGAAATATTAGTGAATGCGATGAGGAAACAGCTCAATTAGTTTATTGGGACACACGAAATCTATCATGTCCATTGGGTAGTATTAAAGATTTACATTCAGATGATATTGTTGATGTAAAATTCGATCCTACTTCTGTTCCCGGTTATCTACGTCTAATGGATTGTTCTGAAGATGGCGTAATATGCTTGTATGATATGAATGCAGAGGCGATTTCACAGGATAATTCTCTTTTATATGTGAGTTTAAGTTGAAAATAACTTCTAATATTTTTCGAGGCTAGCAATGAAGGAGGACATAAAATGCTTGTTATTTTATCAGGAGCAGCTTATTAGTGTGAATCCCAGTAGGCAATAATGTTTGTGATGTAAGGCTCAAAACCACCATATATATTGAAATGGTGGAGGAGATTTGTAGTTCAGGTGGATGATTTTGATGGAGTCTTGTTCTCTCAGCTGGATGGTTTGATCATGGAGCTTTCATCGTTTTTCTGAACGACATCAGGTAGAAGACTTCTACCTGAAGTTTGTGCTGATGATTTCGTTCAGAAAAACGATGAAAGCCTCACGATCAAATCATTCAGCTCAGAGAACAAAACTCCATCTATATATATATATATATATATATATATATATATATATATATATATCGCAATTTACTTTTTGATCGGAAGAATTCAATCAGTACTACGGACTAGACAGATTTAACATTGACTACTACTCTGTGACCATTCAGTAGATATACATATACTGCTTGGAAGTAACTGATACAAATTCCCGTATCTAGTTTTCGTGCTAGTTGTCACCTGCTTCAGCAAGATATATCCATAATCTTGAGGAATTAAATGCTTCCTATTGAATTTGAACTTGTACCACCCATAATCACAACCGATAGCCTCACTGATAACAATCTGTTCAAACTGCGACTGATCACTTCTTGATTATTTCATTTTCTAAATTGCGATATTAATCCATTTAATTTGTCGTTTTTTTCCATCCATTCTTCTGTAGATGTTCAATTCAGAATCAGTGGCTAGTTCATGTGATTGGTTAATATCACATAATGATCTATCTTCTAGTTCCGCTGCTGTTGGCGTCTATTGTACAACAACAATGCGATCAAATATTAAGGCATGGCCAATACACCCATCAATGTTATGTAATAATAATATCGTTGAAGGAGAAAACTTCAAAGAAGACAAAGAAACATTCAGTTTATCTGAAAAAGATGAGGAAGAACTAACTGAGAAAACACGACTATGGAATTCTAAATTTAATATGAATAATCCTAATGATGACGATGATGATAATAAGATTTTAAAAGGTAAAAACTTTTTCAGCATGATTCTAATTCAAACTGATTCATCTGATGAATTTCTGCTACTCGGTGATAGTAATATCAATGATAATAATAATAATAATAATAATAATCAAAATTATCCAACAGTTTTCCATTCAAATTATCAATCAAATTGGACAATGTCTTGTTTGCCATCAAATATCACTATGAGGAAGTCTCAACCAATTAATAGTAGTTTTAATTTACAATATGCCGATTTTCTAGGTAAACTAACCAATAATCACAGTAAAGATAATACTATGAAACAGTTATGCTTTATGGTTGGTTCACAATCGACTGTGCTATGCTCTTATGAAATATCATTATCAACTTGATTATAATCCAAATGATAATTAAATATGTTTTCCTTGATGTTGTTCTGTTGAAAACTGCTGTGTACAGATTCACTTTCCATTTTTATATTGGATTGTGATAAATTTATGTTGTGTTAGAGGGCAGTTATTTTTGCATACTATAAAGTCTCCCCTTCTTTATCTCTTATGCAATGATATATCACTGAATTGATAAGAATATATATTAACTTTTTAATGATAATAATTACACAGTAAGAGTATACTATAATTGTAATAGACAAACACTTGGGTAGGGACAACCAATGTGTTTTAATACAAAATCACAGTGTCTTGATAAAATATAAGAACTATACACTGAATGCTTCATTTGCAAATTTCCATCATTTGTCCTTCACATTCTGTCTGATTCTTCAACTTCAAAATTCTTTTCTATCTTATGATTTAATCAAGTTTCGACTAGAATTACCCATAAATTAGTTTTTTAAAGTAATCATAAACACAATTGTAGGAAGTAACCTCCTATAGGTGAAATTTTAAAATATTTCCCAGACTGTCAAGTACAGAGTCTTAGCTTAGCCCAAATCAGAACTAATAAACTATTTGGCTTGATAAACTATCTGTTTCTATTAATCAGTACATTCTATTAAACGGGGAAAAAGAATGACATAGATCATATTACTTACTTCTGTTAACCCTCGTGGTGGAGCGTAGGCCACTCACCAGCATTCTCCATCCAACTCTGTCCTGAGCAATCGTGTCCAGTTGCTATTCATCCTTTTCATGTTTGATTTCAATCCTCGACGCAGTGTGTTCTTTGGTCATTTTTTTTCGTTTCCCTTCAGGATTCCAAGTTAGCGATTGCTTCGTGATGCAGTTTGATGATTTCCACAATCTATGTCTTGTCCACTTCCAACGTCTTTTCGTAATTTTCTCTCCAGCCGGAATCTGGTTTGTTCTCTGCCATAGTGGATTGATGCTGATGGTATCCAGCCAACGGATATAAGGCATCTTACGTGGAGGTCTTCATCATCCATTCAACCACCAGGAGAAACGTTGAGAGAGGGAGAGAGTAAGCAGCCTTGTCTGACTCCAGTCCTCACTTGGAATGCGTCTGTCAGCTTTTCTCCGTCTGTCGTATGAATTCTGTGTAATGTTGAGCATCTTCTCAGATACACTACAGTGTCGAAGAAGGTTCCATAAGGTCCTTCTATCCACACTGTCAAACACCTCATAGTCAAGGACGTTGATGTGTAGTGACGAGTTCCATTCAGTCGATTGCTCAACAATGATCCGTAGTGTCACGACTTGGTCTGAGCACGACCAATCCTTACGGAATCCTGTCTGTTGATCTCGAGGCTGAGTGTCTACTGAATCTTTCATCCAGTTTAGTAACACTGTTTAAAACGTTTCCTGATACCGACAGTAGTGTGATGTCTCTGTGGTTATCACACTTGCTCAGATCTCCTTTCTTTGGTATCTTGATGAGGTATCCTTCTTTTTAGTTTGTCGGCACTTGTTCTTCCTCCCACATCTTCCTTAATAGGACGTGGAGCATGTTTACAGCTACTTCTATGTCTGACTTCAGTGCTTCAGCTGGCATGTCTTCAGGTCTTGCTGCTTTCCCACTCTTGATTTGTCTGATAATCATCCGGACTTCGTCGGTCGTTGTTGGTGTGACGTGTATAGAAATGTCTGTGTGTGTGTTGTCTTGAAGTTCGGTGGATTCAATAGAGGTGGTCTATTGAAGAGATTTTCAGTGTTCTACCCATCTGTTCCTCTGTTCTTCAATCTTAGTTATTGTTTCTTCGTCGTGTCACACAGTTGTTTCATATTTCCTTCCCTTGCAGCTTTCTCCTCTGTCGTTGCCAGCTCTTGTGCATGTTCCTGCTTGTCGGCTCTAATTCTCCTCTTCACTCGCTTGTTTGCTTCTGTGTATTCAACTTGTGCCTTGATTATCTCTATTCTTGTTCGGCTGTTGTTAATCGCTGTCTTCTTGTTCTTCCTTTTTTTAATCTTGTACAGGGTTTCAATAGAGATTGATTTCTTACGATGATGCTTCTTGCAGCCCAGCATCTCCTGGCACGTTGAAGTTAGTGCTTCTTTGATCTCTTTTCAGTTGTCCTCCATAGTAGCTCCTTCTTCTTTCGGTAGATCTTGTAAGGCTTGAAGTCAGTTGTTGAGAATTATCTTGGATTCCTCGAAGGAATCTTTGTGATGCTGGTTGTCCAGTTGTCCAGTGCTTCTTCAGCCTCAGTTTAATCTTGGCAATCACCAGGTGGTGATCTGGAGTTATGTCAGCTTTTCTCCTGGTTCTCACGTCTTCTATTGATCTCGCGAATTTTTCACTGACGCAAATATGATCGACCTAATTCTGTGTAGTGTGGTCCTGTGAGAGCCATGTAGCTTTATTTATGAGTTTGTGGAAGAATATTATGCCGCTTATAACCAGTTTGTTGAATGCACGTAAATTTGCGAATTCCTCCCCATTTTCGTTTCCTTCTCCCAGTCCATGCCGTCCCATGATATCGTTATATCCGATGTTGTTCATTCCTACTTTCGAGTTTAGATCACCCATTAGAATTTTCGTGTTTTTTCCTGAACACCCAACTATGACCGATTGCGACCTCTCGTGCAACTGATTTTTATCGTGGTCATTGCTATCACTGGTGGGTGCATAACACTGGATAACATTCATTGTGATTCTCTCCTTCTTAGTTTTGAATGATGCTTTGATGATCCTGGGTCCATGAGATTCCCATCCTATAAGTGAATTTCGAGTTTCTTTGGACGGCATCATAGCAAATCTTTGAGTGTATGGAGCGTTTTCGTGACCGGAGTACAGCAGCATCTTTCCCGAATCTATCCTTTTCTGTCCAGCCTTGGTTCAATGGGTTCCAATGATTATGAATACCGTCAAATTGTATCTCCTCATTTCCCTAGCTATTTGACTGGTCCTTCCGGTCTCCCACATTGGATTTACTGCACTTCCAATTGGTGACTTAATAAATGAAGCCGCAGTATATATGGGGGTAATTTTCTCACTAAGTGAAAAATGGTATTATTTCGATCCACAGAAATCTATCAAGCTGACCACCTCTCTCGATGTCACTAGCACTTCAGATTTGGTGTCATTTGTCAAAATAAAGTGTGGCCACCAAACAATATTTTCTGGGAGATGTGGTCAGAACCTGCGCCATTTTTGTTCAAAGGCATCTGACGTACTTTCTTCCGAATTATCGATAGCGTTACTCAATACTTACCTCATTCACACAATAAAACCGTAAAACATCGTTCACCTCCTCCGTACAAAATTAATATGTATCTCTTGGGGTGAGTAATAATGTATCATAATAAAAGAGTCATAGGGTTAGAAGGTAATCTATGTGAAGACAAATCTCATTACCATACATTAACCATCGTAGATATCTAGGTGAGTTTCATCGCCTTGTCAAATAATCATTTCTTCGGTTCTTGAAGGTTATTTTTCGCAAATCATGGGCATTTTAGATAGTCATTGAGACAATTAATATTATTGAACAATGCGTTGAAAATACGACCTTGATCTTTGGATTAGCAAATAGACATCAGCTGTTTGCTCGTTTTAAGTCACAGGGAATATGCGCGGTGGTGTGGTTGGCTTACACTTATCAGGATTTATTTCTGCCACGAATGAAAAAAATATTAGCACGCCTTGCTCAAGGGGATTCTGATGAAGGATTTGTATCATATAACAATCTTGGCAATCATCAAGGACCACATCTTGCTACTGTCGGGCGTAATTTTAGGGTGGGTAGTTTTACACTAGTTGTGGAGTCGGTTATTGCTGAAGGTAAGACTTTGATTTTCAGATTTTTTCGATTACCAATGTATGATTGTCTTATAAATGGTGATCAGTAATAGAAGGGGCACTTGACTTTCTAGACGCTCATGTTTGGGTCAATTAATTTCCCGAGATCACGTAAAATGCTCTTATAGCCAGTGGAATTTATTTATGTGGCGAGCTTCTTGGATTAAGCGCTTGAAGATATATGCTACCTAGTATAAATCTTTGAAATGATAATATTACCTTATGGAATAAAGTCAGGACATTTGAGAAACATTGCAAATGGTCATGATTTTTTAGCATCCTTATGTCCAAAACCAATGCATATATGTATGTCTCTTGTGGGGAGTAAAACAAATAGTCTAACTGAGTGTTTCTGTCGTCGAATGCGTTATAGTAGTTCGAAACCCTCCTGAAAGAACATTTTACCGAATTATTCAGTGGAGAATGTGACGATAAGTGTGACAACTGTTCAGTTATTAAATTTCCAACTTTTCTGTTAACCTAAAGTGTATCAAATACACTTGATGTATGCAAACCTAAGCTTGGTTACTGAATTTTTTATATGTTAATATATCTGTCCAAATTGTTACATGTGTACATTCGTGAACAGTTTCAGTATTAGCTTTAGACTCACCAAAAATCATGATGTTGAAAAACCTTTAAAATTAAGTCCTAATAAGACGTAAAATATCTGGAAACAAGGAATAGAAACAATGAGAAACAGTAAACCACGAAACGGTAAGTGAATAAAAAAGCTCACAAATCAATTGGAGGTTATCTTGAAGCTTTAATTTATTAGGACAAAGGACTAGCCACCCACAACTTATGAAAACACAGGGTCGGTAAACGGTGTAGTCAAGCGTCACGAGACACGTTACCTCGACTTGTTGAGGTAGAAAAGAACTGTCTTCCTATCACAGAGACGGGTCATTATGAACGTCAGGTGCCTGGCAGTGGGAAAATAAAATATACACTGGCCCAGTTTTTCCAAAGAATGCCCTAACTGTCATTACCTATGATATTTTTATGGGTTTTGATAACTAGTTAGCATAACTTTTATAGAAAATCCAGTTCACAATGGATAAAACTATCCATCGTGAAATTTCTGTTTGAATTCATTGATTCTCACTACCTGTAATGTTTACTGCTTATTGACTTACCAAACAATTATGACTTCTCACTGGCAGTCTAGCTTAGGTAGACTCGTGACTTCAACTGCGGAAATACTAGTCTCAACAGATCCCCATACTGATAATTATGACTTAGTTCGAAAAACCGTTTAGCCGTGTTGCTGAACTATTGATAAATTCTAAATAGCTACTAGTGTCAAATGAAACTCAGCTATATAGTACAAACATTTAGTTTCATCCTTCAACTACCAGATAATTAAATTATGTGTATGCTTACCAATCATATTTTTAAAATCAATATATCGGCTGTAAGCGCTGAAACCGAAAAATTGTGTAGTATCTTCATGGTGTCTAGTTACATAATATCTCGTTGGATTAGCAGCATAGTATGCTCCACTATTCAGCAGTCAAACGCATCATTGATTTATCCATTTTATCCTCGAAATTGTAGGATATTCCATCTTTTCCTTGTGTTTACCTATGTTTCAGAGCATTAGATGTGGTTTTCACTTAAACATCTATGCGTTAAGGAAAAATCTAATGAATGAAGTTGGTTTTATAATTATGTATTAATAAAAAGTACTTTACTTTTCATCACTGGATTTTTCTATCCTAAAGTTAGAAAATGCTATGCGAATTAATGTAACCGAGTTCCTATGAATTATCCTTGATTTTGATCAGCAAAATATGAAAATCCATATTTTTATTTACCTGACA